TGCCCTCTGCCCACAGGCACCACTGTGGCTACATGGAGGAAATCACTGGGCAGATTTAGGCAGAAACCCAGGCAGTCTTAGTAATTTTTATTTTCTTTCACTTGTTCCTTTTTGGAGCAAGGAGGGCAGCTGTGCTTTGGGGTGGGCCCCCAGCCCCACACCACCCACCGGGGGCCTTTGCTGTCAAGGGGCTGGTCACAGATCCACATGCCGGGAAAGACCAACTGCAGAAATCAGCTGGGAAGGCCAAGAATCTGCCCTACAGCATCCCAAAAGAGTTCTTCTCCCAAATCCACACTTTATGTGAGCAAGTGGATTTTCCATTCTGACTTTCCAGCTATAGAGTGGTTAGGGGTAGCTGTGGCATGGCGGTAGACTTTAAAGTTATGGGCCAGCCAAGGCAGGTGTCAGGGAAAGACAGCAGGAGAGGAAACGAGTCAGGACCTGGCATTACCTGCCCGAAGTGACAGCAAATGGCACAGCTTAGGGCATCTTTTACTTTGAGATGAGAAATGTGTTTTTTTTCTTTTATTTTATATATGTGTGTATATAAACTTATGCATATTTATAACATACATAATGTGTATGATTTATATATATTTAAATATATGTTTATCATGTTAATGAATATACATAATTTACGTATTTACAGACAACGTCCTTAGACACCGAGGTTGAGGTGTCACCCCCATTGCACTGATTTTTAAAAACAACTGAAGACCAGAGAAGCTTAGGTGACGTGGTCACAGCAATACCACTCGTGAGCGGCCCCCAGGGAGAAGAGGCTGGGGAGGACTCAGCTTCCCCACTCACATCTGTTTTGCGGGAGAGCTTTATGCCCACTTGGAGGGACTCCCAAAGCAGGGGCAGTAGGAAGGCGAGCCGAACCCATCACTGGCTGACGGGAATGTTCATTTCTGTTTTACCACAGCTTTATTTAATCTCCAAACTCAGTAAAGTAGACTTTCTCCAATTCCCATTTTAAATTACTTACAAACCTACAAAGCACTTAGAATGACACCCGGCCACGTAGCCTTTCTTAGCAACGGGCGCCATGTATTGCGGCTGACTCTTCGGTGCTCCGGCCAGGCCCGGCCCTGGTGCTCATGCTCCTGCCCGTTCCAGCTCCCAGCTCACGGGGGCCCAGAGGGTGTGCCCAGGGGAAGGACATCATGGGTGAAAACACTGGCTTGGCTCTTCCAGGAACACAACCATCTCCCTCCTGACCACAGATGACGCCATGGTCTCCATCGACCCCACCATGCCGGCAAATTCAGAACGGTAAGCGGCCGCCCACTGTGTCGCTGGCTCTCACAGGGTCTCTGACGTGTCTACACACGCACATGAGGGTCTCTGTGGTTGATTTTTTAATTTTCTGCTGTAGGAAAATCTGAGTTCAAACTAAAGATGGGAGGCGGGAGGGACAGGGCTGTGAAGGCTTCGGCTTGTTCCTTTGCAGCACGAGCCACTTCCCAGGGTAGGACCATTGATAAGCATGCCCAGAAGCCTTCCGAGGGCGCCACCTCCAGGTCCCAATGATGGCGCCCCCAGGAGGCTCTATGGGGAACCTGAGAGCCGAGCAGCAAGTTGCAGGGTTGGGCCTGGGACCCTGCGTTAACTGGCCCTCTGTCTGCCTCGGGAGAGGTTGTGGGGGACCCCCTGGCCAGAGCCCCTGCAGGATGCCGGAGGTCTGCCCTCTGGGCAAGTCCTGGTGCTGGTGAAGTGCTGTCCCCAGATGGCTCTGCACAGGACAGGGAGGCCCAGGAGGGAACCGGAGGGGCCTGGAAAGCAAACGGGTCGGCCATGAACCCATCGGAGAATGTGTAAAATCGTCAAAGCCCAGCACTGTGTGGCCCAAGGGGGGGCCTCTGAGTAGGGCTTGCCCAGTGGCCTGCACAGTCCCTGGGTCTCCACTTTACTCTTGCGAGTAAATTCTGGGTGAGGCAGAATTTGTGCTGCATTCCTGCTCGGCCAGGGAGCAGGGGCCTGGTGTGGGGGTGTGCCTGGGAACTTATGTCTGCTGCTCCTGTCCCTCACTGAGTACCCACTCCGAGGGACGTGTGTTAGTGGGGTCATCAGGTTTCCCTGAATGAGCCACCAGCGGTTTGGAGCCCCCAGGAGAAGTCAGGCACCAGGCAGACCCTCTCATGTCCCAGAGACTGGAGCGTCTGCCGCTCCTTAATGACAGCTTGGAAATGTTTGGGCTGTCAGAGATGGGGTGCCTGGGGCCTCCACTCTGAGTTCACTCCCCCCAAGGTGTGCCCAAACCCGAGTGCCCAGGGGTGGAGCACCTGCTCTTCCTCCTGTCACCAGAAGCGGCCTATCAGCCACCCGCCTAGGTTGTGGGCAGGATCCCCTGACCATAGGCAAAGGCACAAGCCCTCTTCGGGTCAGCTGAGGCTTTGGAGAGGGAGCTGATCAAACAGCCAACCCTGTGGGAGGCACAGAGTCCTAGGGAGTCCTAGCCACGACTGTCACTCATGCTCAGTGGACTTCGGCTCCACTGGGCGCACGAGTCCCCCTGATGTCACCATCAGGAGCTCCTGCCCCCGAACCCTCCCACTCAGATTATCAGCTGAGGACTCCAGGAGGAGCAGGGCTAACTGGCTCCCCAAAGCCTGCAGCAAGATTCTTGTAAACTGCACCTTAGTCTCTGGCCTGACCCAGATCTCACTCCACAAGGAGTCCAAGTGACCTGTCACCCCTGACGTCACAAGACTACAGTGATCTCGGTGGGGAGCTCATGCAAGCTGATGCCTGACAGTGCAGGCTGGCCTCTGACAAGTGAAGCTGCCTTCCCCCTGAATACGGTTCAAACAGTGTCTGAGAGGCAGCTGATTCACTCTGCCCCTTCATCACCCCGGCCTGGTCCCCTGTTCTGTGCCAGCGGCTCTCAAGGAGCAGTTCTGTCACCAGGGGAGGTGGAGTGGTCTGGAGGCATGCTGGCTGTCACAGAGGGGCAGCCGTGCTGCTGGCATCCAGTGGGCAGAGAGCAGGGTGCTGCTTGGCATCCCACAGCATGGCCCCCCACAGACTCACCACCCCCAAACGTCGTGGTGCCGAGGCTGAGAACCCCTGGCTATGTGGCTCTGACGTCTTCTCTCTACAGAGCTTGGTTGTCCTCTCAAACGTCACCAGCCCCCTAGCCCAGCAGCTGGGCAGCAGTCCCCCAGAGGCCATCTCGTCCACCCATCTCGCTGCAGTTCCACATCCCCGGCCACTGCTGGGGTCCCGTCTGTGCTAAACACACCAGAGGAAACTAATCCACCTGAGCCAGTTCTTTGACGCTGCTGCAGTAAAACCGTGGGCACCTTCTAACAGGCCCCTGCCCCCAGGCCCTTCCTGGACCAATTAAGTGGGATTTAAATGAGACTTTTAAAGCTCACCAGCTGGTTCTACTATTCAGCCTGGGGTGAATGAGCATCACTGATATTAAGTGTGGAAAACCCAGAAAACTCCTCTCCACTCCAGGTTTCATGTCCACCGGACACGGGGTTTCCTCTCCTTGGGAAGTACTGGATCAATTTTGTTTCTTCCTAGCAAATATCGGCCAGGTGAGCCGTGCAGCCAGTCAGGTTGTGTCTCTATTGTTTCTGCCTCTTCTGAAGATGCTGGCAGCCACCTGCCTGGGCCTGGTCACCTGCTGTCTCCCTCGCCTCAGACGCAGGAACCACCGTGCTGCAGGCGCCGGTGTCATCCACCACGCTCGGATTCCTCCCAGGTCCCACTCACAGGACAGGCTTTCCGTGAGCCCTTTGCCAAATCCCAAGGGCTCATGTCAAGCCAGGTATCATGACCTCCGACTCCTTCAGAATACTGCTGGTCTTTGCCTTCTTTGCAGAGCCTCAGCCAGCTGCTGGTGGGGACCATCGTGTCTCATGTCTGGGCCTCCCAATGCCCAGATGCCTGGTTTGTGCTCTGAGTGCCCTTCAGTCGAGCCTTGTCCACCTTCTAGAAAAATCAGCCTTTCATCCCGTCGCTCACCAGCAAGGCACTCTCTGTTAGCCGTAGGACATTGTCCAGACTCCTCTGCCTGGCCGAGCGTGTCCCACCTCTGTGCACCCTCTGAATTACTGACCCTTCTGCCAACCCCATGGCAGGAGTCCACTGGGAGTTTGTTAACCATTCTAGGCCTCCTGAGTCTCCTCTGGCCAATCAGGGACCATTCAGGCCAACCTTTTAAATAACCTGGAACACATTTACAGAAGTCAGAGGGGCTCTAATCAAACACTGGGCCGAGCAGCTTCCGCTCTTCTGTGGCTGGTACAATCAACCCTGAGTCCAAATGACCAGCAAATAGAATAGACACAGCCCAGCCTTGTTCAGATACTGCTGGGAGCCCCCGGGAGCCATCCGGTCCAGGTGCTCCTTCCTGGGTAGGAGAATGCACTGAATCCCAGGGTGCCCAGCTGACAAAGGTGTTGCTTCTGGACGCCTCTGCCCCTTCCGTTACTGTCACTGCTGCTTCAAGATCCTCATCAAAGGGGAGTACAGATGCTTCAACAGTGTGAGAAGGAGTGGGGCGTATGGCCGGGCACATGGAGAGAGGAGACGGCCAGAGTGACACAGCACAGGTGTGACAGAACACAGATGCACCTTACTTGCTGCTTTTAGCCAAGTTGTCATACAAGTAGCTCTCCACCAGCTGAAGTAGTTGTTGGCTTGCAAGGATAGCATCTGCGCCCTCCCCGCAGCCCCGGAGAGAGGCCTCCCAGATCCCAGCGGGGCTCCGAGCCGCCACCTCCCGCTACATGTGCTTGAAGAGAGGTCTCGGGACCCAGGCAGTTGTTGCATTTTGGGAAAAGACAAATACAGTAAAAGGCAAGTATATTCATTTTAAAGAGACAGTGGTTTTGCGTCAATTTGGTTGTTGAGGAAGAAGGGAAGGAGATCAACTCAGAGTGAGCCGGGAGCTCATGGACCGTGGAAGCAGCATGACTTGTTCTGAGAACATGGCCTCAGGATCCTCAGAGTCACGAAGATTAAGGACCCAGAAGCCAAGACTAATGTCGGGGGCCCGAGAGACTCAGCCCAGGGCTTTTGGGCACACAGCCTGGGAGCTCCTGTGGGTGCTCGCGGCCTCATCTCTGTGCCCAGCCCCACACTCACAGCTGCCTCCGCCCCTCAGCTCACCGGGCCCTGTGAGGCGTTACCCCCCTGTGTGCTTTGCACGCTGAAATGGGCTTTGTGGGGAGAGTCAGGCCCCGCTCAGGTTGACAAGATATCCCAAGGTTGGTGTGGCCATGGAGGGTTCTCTTCATAAGCCCAACCCTGAGTCCGGTCCAGGGGTGCTTGCCTTCAGCACTTCTGGCACAGGGACATTGCTGGGACGTGCCACTCCATCTCTCCCCATCTCCTGTTATCAGGTTGAAGTTTTGCTAAACTCCTGGATAAAAATATAACATTTCTCTTGAGGTGACTTTTTTTTTTTTAACTATTTTGGCTATTGCCTGTAACTTTTCTTTTTGGCCTATTTTCCATTGGCTCAATCGTCTTTCCCTCCCTCTTTGGAGGTCCTTGTACATCAGGGACTAACTATTCGTCTGATACATATTACCAGTATTGTCTCGCCACCTCCCCAGATCTATGATTACCGGGGTGGCATCACCAAGATGCCAGTGCATTTTCGACTAAGGTATTGACGTCATCCTCTCTCGTGCACCTGGGAGGTGTGGTGGCCGTGAGCCCAGACAAGTGAGGGAGGGACCCTCTGTGCATCAGCCGGGTGTTGGGACAGACTTGGCAACTCTGGCAGAGTCCTGGCCATTCCCAGAGGATTCTGAGCAGGAGTGGTGCTGATCACAGAATTTTTTTTATTGCCCAAATAATGAATATTAATAGAGGAAGTTCCTCATTTAAATGATATGCGTATTTAGAATGCTTCTGAATGAGGAAGCTCAGAATGGCCAAAGAAACTAATTTCAAAACAAGTGAATCCACTGAATTTTAATTCATCCCGAACCCTTATCTCCCCTACCAGACGCACCAGGACTGTCTCTGAGCTGTCTCCTCTCTCTTTCAGCACTCCCTACAAAGTGAGGCCCGTGACCGTCAAGCAACTCTCCGGTAAGGTCCTGCTCTCATTTCCTGAGTCAAAAGAAAAAGAAGGCAGCTCCAGGCTTCCCCTGTGGTTGCAGATATATAGTTAACCATTGATTCTAAAGCCCTATAATTATTACAGATTCAAAAGCCATATACCAATCCAGAGACAGTCTTATACATTGCCCTTTCAGTCCCTCAGTGACCCCCTCCCACCCTGTCCCCAGACACGAGATGACAGTCCACGCTTGTCTTTCCGGCCCAGCGTCTGTCCTCCTCGCTCAGACTGAGCCAAAAACGTGGACCACTTGCAGCCCCCAACCCGCAGGATGCTTCATGCAGGCAGCAGTGTTGTTTCGGACTTTTTATCACTCTTATTTATGCATGATTTATGCATAATAAAATGCTCTCATTCAAGTATATATTCTGATGAGCTTTAAAAAATTTATTCACCCTTGTAACCATCACCAAAACAAGGCACCAAACATTTACATCACCTGGAAAAGTTGTGCTCCATCATGCTCACCTCCTCCCTTGACTCCTGGTGCCTGTCAGCAACTGACCTGCTTCTGATACTGCAGATTAGGTTTGTCTTTTTAAGAATTTCATAAAAGAAATTATGTGGTACATGTACTTTTCTTTGACTCAACCTAATGCTTTTGAGACGTGTCTATGTGCGGTGTGTATCAGTGTCTACCGTTTTTTGGCTGAGTACTGTTCCAGAGTATGGCTGGGCCACAGTTTGATTGCCTAGTCACCTATTGAGGGACATCTAGGCTTTCTCCAGGTTGGGGGCTTTTATGAGTAAGGCTGCTATAAGCATTCAAGTTACAAGCATTTGTTGCAACATATATTTTCATTTCTCTTGGATGGAATGGGATTGAATGGGATTGCCGCATCATATGGTCAAGTATATGTTCCAGTTTACTAAAAAAACAGTGCCAGTCAGATTTTCCAAAGTGGCTGCACCATTTTGCATTCTTACCCACAATGTATGAGCATTCTAGTTGCTCCACATCCTCACCAGCACTTGGAATTGTCCTTCTTTATGTTAATCATTGTAATGGATATGTAGTGATGTTGCATTTGGCTGTAATTTTTGTTTCCCTGGTGATGAATGATGGTGAAAATATTTACTGGCCATTCCTCAATCTTTTATGACGTATCTGCTCAAATCTTTCTTGGTTTCTTTGTTGTTCTTGAGTTGCTTTCCTTCTTCTTACCAAAGGAAGAGTGTTCCTGATCCATTTGGAGGCACACCCTTTGTCTGATACAGATCACAAATGTTTTCTCCAGTAGGCAACTTGCCTTTTCATTGACTCTGAGTTTTAGATTTTGATTAGGCCCAGTTTATCAATTGTGTTCTTTTATGGTTTGGGCTTTTTGTGTACCATCTAAGAAGTTGAAGTTATCCCCAAGCTGTGAAGTTCACTCCTAACAGATTCTACTTTTAGCTTTTACATTTAGATCTATGACTCATTTCAAGTTGATTTTTGTGTATGGCCTGAAAGTTGAGGTTTGTTTTCCTTTTTATAATGTAATGTTAATCTAATTCTAAGTAGTATAATGTTGGCGGCTGCAGAATAGAATGCTGAAGCCACCCTAACCATGCTAGAGCCTGTGTGAGTGGGGCCCATGTTTCTGCATGTCACTGTCTCTTCTTTAAAGCAGCAATGTTCACACATGAGCACTGGTTGCTTTAAATTGTTTAAGGGCTTATGTAGCTCTTTATGAAGACTCTCAGCTCAGTTCTCTTGATAGTAAATGTTAGACTGAAGTATGAGTTCTAACTTTCTCTAGGATGGAAATACCTTTTTAACATAAAAGGCTTATTCAGCCTTTGACCTGATAATAAATGTATGTTTTTTTACAGTGTTAGTAACTAAACCCTATACTTTATTCAGATGTCACCAGTTTTCTCCTGATGTCCTTTTCTATTCCAGTATCAATCCACTTTTCATTTAGCCCTTATGTCTTCCCAGGCTCCTCTGGCCTGGAAGTTTCTCCGGCTCTCCTTGTCTGTCATCACCTTGGCAGTTTTTAGGGGTCTGTAGAATGTCTGCCAGTCTGGGTCTGTCTGATGTTGTTCTTGTGATGAGCCTGGGGGCGTGGGTTTGGAGAGAATGCCTGGGGTTCAAAAATATCCACGTGCATCACTGGCTTCTCCCCTGTAAAGGTACTGTCCTTCCCCTTCTTTGGGGCCCACCTCCAAGAAGGGGAGAAAAGAATGGAGATTCATTTTCTCTATACAGGCACCCTTTTGCACGAGAACACTTTTTGAAAGACAGTCCTTTCCCCCATTGAATCATCATGACACCTTGTCAAAAGCCAGTTGACCGTGGATGTGTGGCTCTGTCTTTGGACTTGCAGTCGTGAACCATTAACAGACATGTCTGTGCTCAGACCAGTGCCACAAGGTCTTGGCTACTATAGATTTATAGTAAGTCGTGAAATCAGGTCAAATCCTTCAATTTATTTTTTCATTTTCAGAAATGTTTTGCTTATTCCAGGTTCCTCTTGTTTCCAAAGAAACTTTAGAATCAGTCTGTAAATTGCTATCAGAAAAAAATCTGCTGGGATTTTGATTGAAGTTATATTAAATATATGGACAACTTGGGAAGAATTGTCTAATTAAGAATATTAAGTTGCATGCTCTGATGCATGAATCTGGTATATCTTTTGACAAATTTGGGTCTCCTTTACTGTCTCATTAATGTATTATAGTTGTCGGTGTAAAAAGCTCTTAAGTATATGTTGAGAAGTTTATCACTAAGTATTTCATATTTTTAGTGCTACTACTAATGAATTTTAAAAAATTTTCAATTTCCAAAAGTTTGTAGTTTATAGAAATAAAATTGGCTTTGTGTATTGACCTGGCTAAACTCTCTAAGTCTAGTGCTTTTTGTAGATTTCCTATGATTTTCCACATCTGCAAATAGAGAATTGCATCTTCCTTTTACACCTGGATGCTTTTATTTCTTCTTCTTCCTTATTGCACTAGCTAGGATACCTAGCACAATAGAAGAAGAGAAGCTGTAAGAGTAGAGATTCATGCTTTGTTGTCAATCTTGGAATGTATGAAGTTTTTTGCCTTCAATTTTGATGTTAGCTATAGAGTTACTTTTGTAGATACCATTTATCAGGTTGAGGGGGTTTTTTTTCCTTTATTCCTAATTTGTTGAGAGTTTTAATCATAAACTGATGTTGAATTTTGTTAAATATTTTTTCTACTTCTGTTGAGATGATCATGTTTTTTTCCCTCTATTCTGTTACTACTGAATTCTGATTTATTTTAAATATTTAAACTAATCTTGCATCCCTAGTAGCAACTCCATTTGGCTGTGACATAGTATCTTTTTGTTTTGGATTCAATTTGCAAATATTTTGTGAAGGGCTTTTGCATCTTTATTAACAAGGGATATTAGTTCATAGTTATGCTTTCTTATAATATGTTCATCTGCTTTTGGTATTAGGGCAATTCTGGCCTCATGAAATTTGTTGGGGAGTGTTGCCTGCCTCTGTCTTCTGGAAGAGTTTGTATAAAGTTGGCATTATTTCTGCCTTAAATGTCCAATAGAATTCACAAGTGAATGCCTCTGTGCTTGGAGTTTCTTTGTGGGAAGAGTTTGAATTATGAATTCAGTTTCTTTAACATAAATATACTCAAGTTTTCTATTTATTTGAGGATTAATTTTAGGAAGTAGTGTCCATTTCACAAAGTTTCATCTCAGAATTTATTGGCGTGATGTAGTTTGAAGTATGTCCCTATGATCCTTTTTATGTCCAAAGGACTGTCATGAAATCTCCCCTTTCATTCAAGGTATGAGCAACTTAAATCTTCTCCCTTTAAAGTCAATCAGCCTAAGTGATTTATACATTTTTTATTGCTTTTTTTGGAGAGCAAGCTTTAGATTTCATTGGTTTCCTCTGTCATCTGTCTGCTTCTAGTTCATTGATTTCTCCCCTTATCTTATTTCCTTCCTTTTACTCACACCAGGTCATATTTACTCTTATCTTTCTAGCTTCTAAAGGTATAAGCTTAGATAACTAATTTTAGATCTTTCCCTTTTTTATAGAATAATTTAAAGCTAAAGATTTCCTTCTAAGTGTAATTTCGCTCTGTCTCATGAATTCTGATGTGTTGTGTTTTCATTTTTATTCACCTTGAAATACTTTTTAACTTACCTGTGGTTCCTGCTCTGAACTATTTATTGTTTAGAAGTGCATTATTCTTATTTCATTTCCAAATTTGTGGATATTTCCAGTTACCTTTCTCTTTTTGATATCTAAGTGAATTCCACTGTGATCAAAAGTAGATGCTGTATGACTTCAGCCTTTTTTAATTTGTTGAGATACATGGTGTATCTTGGTGACTATTCCATGTGTACTGGAACAGAGTACATATTCTTCAGTTTTGGGGTGGAATATTCCATAAATATCAAGTAGGTCAAGGTAGTTGATACTGTAGCTCAAGTTTTTTATATCTTTACTTATTTTTGCCTCCTTTTTCTATTACCAGAAGATGAACACTGAAATATCCAAGTCTATTGCGGATGCGTCAGGTTTTGCTTCACGTTCCAGTACCTATTGTTGGGTGCATATTTATTTAGGATTGTTGTATCTTCTTAATGAATCAACCCTTTACCCTAATAGAAATTTGCCTTTATCCTTGGTACTGCTTCTCGTTTCAGCATCTTCTTTATCTCATGTCAGTATAGCCGCTGCAACCTTCCAGGCTTCATGTTATTTGCTATATCCCATCCATCCTCCCACTTTTAACATCTGAGTCTTTACATTTGAAGTGGATTTCTTATAGGCCTATTTATCAGTTCTGGTGATTTCAGCCTTTTCACTGGAGTTGTTAAACCATTTCCATTTAAATGTAATTATAGATATGGTTGGATTTAAATCTACCTTGCTACTCATTTTCTATTTATCTCATTCTTTTTTATTTGTCTTCCTCTTTTCCTGTCTGTTGCATACTGAGCATTTTTTAATTCCATTTTTTTCTCCACTCTTGGTTTATG